GGAAAAATGAGACATTAGTGCACTGTTGGCAGAGTTGTGAACTGATTCAACCACTCTACAGAGCAATTTGGAACTATGCCAAAAGTACTATAAAATCTTTGACCTATCAATACCAATACTATGTCTGTATCCCCCAAAATATAAAAAAAAAAAAGGAAAAAGAAAAAGGACCTATATGTACAAAAATATTTATAGCAGCTCTTTTCTGGGGGTAAAGAATTAGAAATTGAAGGGATGCCCATCAATTGGGGAATGGCTGAACAAGCTGTAGTATATAATTATGATGGAATACTATTGCACTACAAGAAATGATGAGTGAGGCAGCGAGGTGGCGCAGTGCATAGAGCACCAGCCCTGAAGTCAGGAGGATCTGAGTTAAAATCCAGCCTCAGATCAGACACTTACTAGCTGTGTGACCCTGGGCAAGTCACTTAGCACCAATTGCCAGGAAGAAAGGAAGAAAAGAAAGCAAGGAAGGAAGGAAGGAAGGAAGGAAGGAAGGAAGGAAGGAAGGAAGGAAGGAAGGAAGGAAGGAAGGAAGGAAGGAAAGGAAGGAAAGAAAGAAAGAAAGAAAGAAAGAAAGAAAGAAAGAAAGAAAGAAAGAGAAAGAAAGAAAGCAGGATGCTCTCAGAATAACATGGGAAGACTTGCACGGGTTGATGCAAAGTGAAATGTACTGTGTACAAATAATAGCAATATTGTAAGATGATCAGCTGTGAATAACTTAGCTATTCTCTCAATACAACAATTCAAGACAACTCTGAAGGACTCATGATGAAAAATGGTATTTATCCCCAGAAAAAGAACTGATGGTGTCTGAATGCAGATTGAAGAATACTTTTTTTTTATTTCATTTTTCTTGAGGTTTTTTTTGTCTATGGTTTCTTTCACAACATGATTATTATGGATATGTTTTACATGACTACACATGTATAACCTATATTGAATTGCTTGCCTCCCTCAATGGAGGGAGGAAGAGAGAGAATTTGGAGCTCAAAGTTTTAAAAACAAACGTTAAAATTTGTTTTTACACATACCTGGGGAAAATTAAATACTAAATGAATACAAGATAAATAAAACACACACACACACACACACACACATACACACACACAAAGAAAACAAATCCTTTTAGACACTAAGACTCTATGATTCCTGACCATGTGGGAACAGATCTGAGAATAGCAGTGTTACCTAAGGGTGGTGCAGTAGATAGATTACCAAGCCTAAAGTCAGGAAGACTCATGTTCTTGAGTTCAAATGTGGCCTCAGATATTTACTAGCTGTGTGATCCTGATTGTTTGCCTCAGTTCCTCATTTGTAAAATGAGCTGGAAAAGGAAATGGAAAACTACTCCAGCATCTTTGCCAAGAAAACCCCAAGTGGAGTCAGAGTCAGAAATGACTAAAACAACTTAACAACAACAACAACAACAACAACAACTAGATTACCAGGTTTGCTTCTAGCCTGGCCCTTAAAAGTTACAGAGAAGGTGGCCACCCTCCTCAGCACCACCAGAACCAATTGCCACCAATGCCACCACTTAGCTGAAGATCTCTTAGAATAGCATGGACCCCCAGACTCCTGCTTTTATCCCTGTCCCTGTAGCCATGATCCAGGGAAGCAACTTCTGTAGAGATGCCAAATAGTAACTGCCTATCCTAGTGTTGTTGCACACTACTTTCAGAAACCACAGCTACTAAAGACTCAGAAAAGAAAGTTCTTACCACCAAAGTTGGCACTGTCAAAGGGTTCCACATCTTTGAGTGATAAGGTTCTATAAATGGAAATGGCACTAAATAAATATCATTGCCACTGAACCCTAAGGACCATTGGACCTTCCCATCTGCTTACAGCAGAAACCTCCTACATATGTTGTCTCCCTGATAGAATGTGAGCTCCTTGAGAGCAAGGACTCAATTTTCTATTTGTAGCCAAAGTATTCAGCATAATACTTGGCACTAAGCACATATTTTTTCTCCATCCATCCATCCATCCATCCATCCACCCATTTATTTATTTACATATTCATATATTTATTTATTTATATTCAGCTTTGAATCCCTTTTAGGGACAGCACCATCAATAAGTTCTTTGCTAAAGAGCTAAATGAACATTATATAAAAAGACTAAAAAATGTAAATAAAGGCAACACTAAAAGGTAAGAGATTTCAAGTCAAATACAGTGGAAAATGTTACTTCCAGCTTATCAAGGCTGATACATACACTTTTCCATTCTATTAATAAATAGTACCTAATAAATGGTACCTATAAATGGTGAGTATAGGTGGCCCCAGATCACTACAAATATAAAGCAATTAATGTAAAGAGTTAATTTTCAGTCAAATGAAATCTGGCACACACTTGTATCCAACAACAAAAAAGAACTATAAGCAAAACAGTAGACTATGTACCTTTCTCCTACATCTAATAAATTCAATATCTTGCTAGTGCTGTCAGTCATAATTACATTATCAGAGAGTGTTGCGTTTTTACATTTTAAATGTTAAAGCACCATAGGGGATACTATTCATTGAGAACTGACTGACATGTCAAAATAAAAAGAGTCAAAAGACAAAGTAACACACAATAAAAACATTTTGAAAAATGCCAACTCTTGGCTGAACAACTAAAAAGTGGAACAGGACAGTCAAGATCCAGTGCTGTGACCAACTTTCAATTCTCCTAGACCAAACCAACATAAATCAGTCAGTTCACTTTGAACATGCTTCATCTTGCCAATGTGGAAAGAAAGCCAACTCATTCGATTTGAAACAATGGCTCAGGGCTTGAAAAGTATTTTCACCATCATCAAATACATTTAAGCACCCACTTCATTCACATAGGTATAAAAAACAAGCAGTCAGTACTTGGCTGAATCTCAGGGGAATGTTATAATATTAAATTACAGATCAAACTGTTAGCTGCTCCCTGGTGACCTAAATAATGAAACACCATTTAATGGGCCAGATCATAAGAAAATAACATACTTGGCAAGAATGAGACCATAAATTATTGCTATGAGTGTCATTTTTTGGGGGAAGTGATGAGTTTTCAATCTAACACAGTTGTTGGGTTGTGCAACAGATAGAATGCTAGACCTGGCTTTAGGAAGATTTAAATTCAAACCCAGCCTTAGACATTGACTAGCTGTGTGACCCTGCACAAGTTATTTAACCTCAGTCTGCCTCAGTTTTCTCATCTGTTAAATAGAGGTAATAATACACCTCTTTTCAGGGTTGTTATGAGGATGAAATGAAATCATATTTGTAAGATGTTTTGTAACATTAAAGTACTAAATAGATGCTATTATTATCTTTTGTCATCTGTTACTTTATCTATCTAAACATTCTTAGGCTAGGATTATAGAAGTTCACTCACATAATCTTAATTAACCCTTAATTTTTTAAAAGATCAGAGACAGAGAAGACACATAATGTTTAATCTAAAATCCATTATGTTTACTGTACATAAGAACACAAAGAAAGACATAGACTCAGAAAAAGACTCACAGATTTAGAAGGGCCCTTCTAGCTGTCAGGGAAACTGAGGAGATCCTCCCCAGCCTCATGACCTGACATAAGTAAAGCAATTTAAAGTTAGTATGTATGACCAGGAGCACCAAGGGAACAGAACATCAAAGAATAAAACAAACTATGTTACTCAGGCAGAACAATTCTTATCTCAAGGAATATCTTAGATTCCTTGAGGAAAGTGTGTAGGTATCCAGGGAACTGGCCTCTCCTCAGATCTGGAGCTTTGGCCAAGCTCCACCTTTGTTCTAAGGTTGTTCTCCCACAGTTTACATAGATATAAAAAGGGCCATTTGGGAAATGGCCTTTTGGAGGTCTTCATTTCAGAGATGGGGACACCCGTTCTGTTGACTTTCCCAACGAGACCCTGACGGCTGTAACATGGTACTCTCCCAGCCAGATGTTCAGGAGTTGGTGCTTCCTCGGATTGGGGATGTATTTCTTCTTTCTCTCTCTATCTTTCTGTTAGTAGTCTTTGCTTCTACGATTGTATGATCATATATAATCATATTTATGTGCATGTATATTTATGATTGTTGCCATTATTAAATCATTTATAAACTAGAAAAAATGTGAACATGTCTTTGTGGGTACTGATCCGAACATGTGACACAAATAAGTGCTGCAGCCTGTAACACCTTATTGTTATACTAGCTTACACTTATATTAGGAGTTTTTAACATTTTTGTGTGTATCTTGGACCCCTTTAGTAGCATCAGTGGCCCCCTTTTCACAATAATGTTTTTAAGTATATAAAATACATAAGATTACAAAGGAAACCAATTATATTGAAATATAGTTGTCAAAAATACAGTTTTTAAAAATACATACAAGTTCACAGATCTTAGGTTAAAGAACTCTTGCCTTACCTGAACAAATTGCCCCTATATCACATCCAACAAGCAGTTATCCAGGTTTTCTTTGAAGACTTTTACAGTAGGGGAACCCACTATCTACTAAGGTAGCCAATTCTACTTTTGGAAAGCTTTGCACACAAACAAATTCACTTATTCCCTGTGTCTGTTCTGAACTTCTTCTCTGAGTTGGTATTACTTTTAGCTTCCCAAGACTTAGGATAAGATGGGAAGAATGCTAATGGAGACAGAAAGACTTAGAGGAGTGAGTGTAGGGGGTCCCAGATCACCACAAATGTAATGCAGTTAATATAAAGTGTTAATTTGTAGTCAAATGGAATCTGGCACACACTTGCATCTAACAACAAAAAAGAAGTATAAGCAAAATAGTAGACTGTATACCTTTCTCCTACATCTACTAAATTCAATATCCTGGAATTCAGTTTGGGGAGTTGCTCACACATTTTGGATCCCTAATTGAGAAAACAAGGAAAATATTTGTCTGTATTTGCAATCAGGTCTTGTCTCTATTAGCTGTTTTCTTTTGTCAGTCTGAACTATACCAACTGCACCTTCAGTATTTTCAAGAATCATGGTACTCACTGCAACTTACTTTGTAAATTCAGTTTTTCACACATGGTGCTGGGTAAGTTGACAGGACATTTGTAGATATCTCCCATTCTGTTCTCTGGAAAACCACTCCATGGTGAGCCAACAAGCAACCTAAAAAATAAAAGATTTTTTTTCTTTTATTATACATAAAATGTGAAGCTATTTATTCCTAAAGATGAACTGAAAATAAAAGAAAAATTGAAAAGGTAAATATTTCAGGCTTTAAGTTAATGAATAAGGACAATTCAAACCTAAGCAGTTATAATTTTCTCTTAGTCATCTAAAAAGACCCTTTCTGACCAAAGACCATACAACTGTACTGCCAAACAGTCACTTGAACTTTATTGCCTTAAAAAAAAGAAGAAAGTCTTAAGAAAAATTGTGAAATGGTAAACAAAATAGAATTCTACAAAACACAGAACTTTGAAACATGGATATTTTATCATTGCAAGCCTCTTTTCCTACTATGATGAAGTAAAATACTTTGAGACCATCTTATTTTGATTAGAAGCCACTTGATTTAGACAGGCAAGAATATTCATCAATTGGGAAATAGCTAAAAAAATAGTATGTTAATGCAATGGAATATTATGCAGTAAGAAAATGAAAGATATGAGAATTCAGAGAAACAAGCGGAGACATGTTTGGATTAAAGTAGAATGAAATTAACAGAATTAGATATATAATACATATACATTTCTTTACATACTATACAATGTAACCATCAGTGAAAAGATGACCAACAGGAAATCAAATTCTGATAATGAAAAATATACAGGGTCCTAGAAAAGAGACAAAACACTTCTACCTCACAGCATAGAGATGGGAGACCACTACAAAATACATTGTCAGACGAAGTTTCTGTAGTTCATGTTCTTGTTTGTTTCCCTTTGATAATGGAATGCTTAATTGGAGGAGGGTAGTAGGAAATGACTATGATGTAAAGACATAAAGGATCATTATGTATTAAATATGCAAAAAGCAATAATTTTAAAATAAATGGATAGAGATCATAATAGTTATAATACGTGATGGATGAACTTTAAATTATTGGCAGGTAAAAAGTCTAAAAGGTATGATTTGTTAATTTTCAATTGCTTGCTAATAGAGGGAATCAGCATCAAGGATTGTCCAAAGATCATTTATGTATGTAGTAGTTTTCTGTACTTACAGCTACAGATGAACATACTGATGGTTCCATAATTCTTAACTTTGAAAAAATTAAAAAAAAACTTGTAAAGCCACATCGTAAAAAAAAAAAAATCTCTCTTGACAATCTCTCTGCAGTATTCTCTGTCTATACAATTCCTTTCTGTTCCTCCAAACATGCTGAGAATGACCAACCTTACCTCTTTTCTAAAAAGTTATGCTACTTTCTGTTAAATTAGTTGCCTATTTCATACATTTAGGAATGAAAAATCATAGAATAATGGATTTAGGACTGGAACAGGAGAGATCATCACTATAGTTCAACTTCCTCAACTACTGTTGCTTAAAAAGGTCCTTTTCTCTTTTAGATTAGGGGTGACAGACATTCCAATGCTTCTATTCCATTTGAGCTTATGGGACCTTTAAGGATTTTCTGCTGATTTGCTACAGATTATTGAGAGTTGATTTATTTCATAAGATCACAGATTTAACAGCTAGAAAGAACTTCAGAGAATATCTAGTCCAACCTCCTAATTTTACAAAAGGGAAAACAGAAACCTAGAAAGGTTGAATGGATAGCCAAGGTCACATAGCTAGGAAACAGTAGCTGTGAGATTTGAATCTAGATCCTCTAACTCTTTCCATTGTGCCTTGCTGCTTTCTCAGCTTATGAAAAGGTCATTATGATATCAGGGTAATGCATAGTACAGTGTATCGAACTAGAGCCCTGGTTTCTAACACCAGTAGCATTTCTGTTCTTCACGCTATCCATTTTTAAAAGTTCAATAGAATTTACTTGAGTATATGTGTTCTCTAAGACCTTTTTGAAACAAATATGAGGCATGAGAAAGCATTTAAAATACCTTGAAGGGAAGAGACCATATAAACCTGTGTTATTATACAAGGCATCTTTTGTATTCTTTCTAGAAAATGAGGTCTCCTGAAAAGACTTGCAAGGACTGATGATGAGTGAAGTGAGCAGTACACAGTACACAGTAATTACCACGTTGCGCGATGACTAATATTAATAGACTCAGTCCTTTTCAGCAATGCAAGGATCTAAGATATCTGCAAAGGCCTCATGATGGAAAATGCTATCCACATCCAAAGAAAGAACTATGGAGTTTGAATGCAGATGGAAGCACACTATTTGCTATTTTTTCCTTCTGTTGTGTTTTGTTTCCTCTTTCTGGTGGTTGCTCCTACTGGTTCTAATTCTTACTTATAACAACACTAATGTGAAAATATGTTTAATAGGAATATGTATGTATAGCCTATGTCAGATTGTGCATCATCTTGGGGAGGAAGGGGGAGAAAAATTTAAAACTCAAAAGCTTATGGAAGTGATTGTTGATAAATCAAAATAAATTAACAAAAAACAACAAAAAAAGAAAAAAAGGTCTATTTTATTTTTAACATTTTAAAGTTTGGAGTTCTAAATTCTATCTTTCCTTCCTCTTCTCCCTCTCTGAGACAGTAGGCAATCAGATATAGTTTATACATATGCAATTATATAAAACATTTCTATATTAGTCATTTTGCATAAGAAGACTAGAATAAAAGAAAAAAATGAAAGAAAGAAAGAAAGCGAAAAATAGCATGCTTCAGTCTGTATTCAGTCAAAATCAGTTCCTTCTCTGGACGCAGATAATATGTTTCATCATTAGTTTTTGGGGATGGTTCTGTTCACTTCACTATGCATCAGTTCACGTAAGTCTTTCTAAGTTTTTCTGAAATCATCCTGCTTGTCATTTTTTATGGCACAATAATATTCCATTGTAATCACTTACCAGAACTTGTTTAGCCATTCCCCAATTGAGAGGCATCCCTTTCATTTCTAATTCTTAGCCACCACAAAAAGAGCAACTATAAATATTTTGGTACAAGAAGGTCCTTTTCTCTCTTTTTTTAATACAGATATGTTTTTGGGATATAGACCTAGAAGTGGCATTGCCAGATATGCACAGTTTTATAGCCCCTTGGGCAAAGTTCCAAATTGGTCTCTAGAATGGTTGGACCTTTTCACAACTCCAACAATAGTGCATTAGTGTCCCAGTTTTTCCCCTCCAACATTTTTTTTGTCAGATTAGCAACTCTGATAGGTGTGAGGTGGTACCTCAGAGTTGTTTTAACTTGCATTTGCAATTTAATTTGCATTTCTCTTCATTTTTTGCATCTCTCAGCATTTTTTTCATATGATTATAGATAGCTTTGATTTCTTTGTCTGAAAACTGTCTGTTCATATTCTTTGACCATTTATCAACTGGGAAATGACTTATATTTTTATAAATTTGATTCAGTTCTCTATATGTTTGAGAAATGAGGCCTTTATCAGAGACACTTGTTGCAAATTTTTTTTCTCCCAGTTTTCTGCTTTCCTTATCATTTTGGTTCCATTGGTTTTGTTTGTGCAAAAAAGCTTCTAATTTCATATAATCAAAATTATATATTTTATATTTTGTAATGCTCTCTATATCATAAATCTGACAGATAAAGACAGATAAACCATTCTATGCTCTCTTAATTTGCTTATGGTATCACCCTTTACAAACAAATCATGTACTCATTTTGGCCTTATCTTGGTATATGCTGTGAGATGTTGGTCTATCCTTCGTGTCTGCCATACTGTTTCCAGTTTTGCCAGTAGTTTTTGTCAAACAATGAGCTTTTATTTCAAAAGGTTGGATCTTTGGGTTTATCATATACTAGATAACTATGGTCATTTACTATAATACAATTTGTGCACTATTCTATTTCTTAGCCAGTACCAGATTGTTTTGATAATTACTGCTTTATAACCCAGTTTGAGATCTGGTATGGCTAGATGGTCTTCTTTAGATGAATTTTGTTATTCTTTTTTTCTAGCCCTATAAAAGAATTTTTGATAGTTTGGCATGTCACTGAATAAATAGATTAATTTAGGCAAAATTGTCATTTTTATTATATGGGCCAGTCTCCTCATGAGCAATTAATATTTGTCCAATTGTTTAGATTTGACTTTATTTGTGTGAAAAGTGCTTTACAGTTGTGTTCATATAGTTCTTGAGTTTGTCTTGGCAGGTAGACTCCCAAATAATTTATATTGTCTACAATTATTTTAAATGGAATTTCTCTATCTCTTGCTGCTGGACTTTGTTGGTAATATATAGAAATGCTGATGATTTATGCAGGTTTATTTTGTATCCTGAAACTTTGCTATAATTGTTAATACTTTCAAGTAGTTTTTTAGTTGATTCTCTAGGATTTTCTAAGTATAACATCATATCATATGCAAAGAGTGCTAGCTTTGTTTCTTCATTGCCTAGTCTAATTCCTTTAATTTTTCTTCTCTTATTGTTATAGCTAACATTTCTAGCACAATACTAAATAAGAGAGGTGATAATAGGCATCCTTGATCCACCCTAACTGTATTAGCAAGGCTTCTAGCTTATCCCCATTACAGATAATGCTTGCTGATGGTTTCAAATAAATGTTACTTATCACTTTAAGAAAATGAGGTATCTCAGTAATCATTAGAGAGCAACAAAGTTTTCATCATTATTCTGACCTTGAATTCTATGACTCATATACCTCAAATATTCTGAATCACAAAAACAAAACAAATAGCTTTACAGATTAAATCACTGAGCAACATGTTTGACTCTCAGAATGAAAGTTGAAAAGACCATCTGATATTCCCTTTATTGGAAGAAGGTTCCTAGGACACATTCCACTCCTTCTGCCTCATGGCCACCCCCACGGTTCTGTAAATTCTGGTTCCTGATAAGTTTTGTCCTCATAAGAGTTTATGAAATCACCACTCATTACTCAGACAGAATTGTGACATTTTAAAGAGTTATTAGTCAGACAGGAATCAATCAATCAATCATTCAATCAATTCACAAGCGACTACCATATGCTAGCATATAAGCAAGTGTTTTTGTCTCTAAAATTTTATGGTGATAACTGATGTCTTAAAGAGA